GCATTACCCTACATAATAATTGAAGAAAATAATAAAGAAAACAAAAATTGCCTTAGGGTTTTTTTATCAGCATTTATCAGCAGTGTTTCCAGAGCAAAAGCCTGAAGTTGCATTTCAGACCTAATAGCATATCTTCTCCATAGTGACTATACCTTTTGAAACCCAATTTCTCTAAATCAATTTCACGGCATGAAAGTTTATTTATTCTTTCTGTTTACAATTTCCAAAACTTCAGAAGATCCCCATAAGGAATGACAAAGTGCTAAGCCAGTATACACAGTTTAAATGTTTTCATTTTCATTTTCTTAAATCTCAAATTAATGCTCATCAGGATGGGGGAGACAGAGCTGGAGATTAACGACCTATTAAAGACCCAACCCAGACTGATGAAAACACTAATTCATTAACATAAATGTAAGCATTTGATTTCTTAATTTGCTGTTGATTATGTTAATTTATTCTAGCAAGAGAATAAAAGACAATGGAAATTTACGTGCTCTGGAGATAAATTCTAGTATTAAAGTTGTTTTCTGTGTCTTGATCCTTCTGTTTGTTTTGATCTCGTAAAGATTTGTCAAATTGGAAATATTGATAAAAAGCAAATAGGACACAATTTATTTTAGTTACATCTAAATCATACACATTAGCTCATAGAAAATGGAAACTGAAAGTACACAGTTGAAAAATGTATTATTTCGCCAAAAGTCAGACTCCAGGCAAGCAGGTAGTTTACCTGCCAAATGATTTGAAATTTTTATCTTACAAGTCCTGAGATTTACACAACCTGGCAGACTGGTAAACAATTTTTTTAGAACTGCAGTTAAAGTGGAACTATGGGTGAAATAAAAGCTGATGTGTATGATGCAGTGTGTCAATAGCAATACCACACAGTTTTCTTTCCCTACTGTAATATTTAATTTGATTATCTGATCATGCTGCCTGTAGATCCATTACTATTTCAGTGATTTAAACAGATCAAGCTGTCTAGTCAAAGTGACAGTTACTTGTGGAGACATACTATTTAATACTGACAGGGGTGCTTTTGAGGGTCAGCTTGGAGCCTGAAGTTAGGCTTTTATTTGGTTGTCCCTTACTTAGCGCTCTTTCAAACCAGGTACAGTGGGTCTGCGCTGGGAAGCCCTGCTCAGCACAGCCCCATTGCAGGATTAGGCAAAATGCTTTGTTTTTCCTTTCAGTTCACAGCATCATGTTGCAGTGGTGTGCACTTATAAAGTATGGCATGCCGTACTTTTTCAGCACAGTGCATTGTCATGCAATCTATTGCATCAAACTGTACCATGTCCAATACAACTTAACCTCCCTAGCGGTCTGATTATTTCAGATTTTTGGTGCTGAAAGCGTTACCATTATTTTGCATGGAAATATGTAGTTTTTTTATTGTAGGCTGTAATTTTTAGGAATAACTCACTGAAATCTGTCCAAACAAGAGTCTATTAAACATCCTGGGTATGATAAAATTTGAAACACAAAATCATAAATTATAATTTAATAAATAATCATAAAAAATAATAATATAATAATAATACATTTAATTCAATAATATAATCAAACCAAAAACACTGAAATTTGAAATATAGCGCCAAGTTCACACATTGCTGAGCAAAGTCGCAAAATCGTTTTCAGTGTCTGATGACGAATTTCCCCACGAATCATTATGACCCAATTCTGCAAGTGGTTCTGATTTACTATCGCTGTTCTCTAGCTGGTCTAAAACCACTTTTGACCTAAAGGGACACTTTTTGGACGCCATGGACTTTTCTCAGTTTCCAGGCAGAAAGAACAGACAAAATGCAGGCAGGGCACAGGACAAAGCACTAGGGACAAAATGTATGTGAAATGGGTTGAAACAGCAATGTTTTGCTATGTAAAATTTGTTTGGAAAAAAATGACATTTTTTAAAATTTTCAAATTTCCCACCGCCGCTGGCGCCCATTACGTCCCGACGTCACAGGGACCGGAACACAGAAGCCGGATGCCAGCATCGGCTGGAGAAGATGACAGGGGACGCTGCAGGGGACACATTGCGGGAGCGAAGGACAAGGTAAACTCTGCAGGGACTCCCTATGCAGCGCCGCATGGTAAGCCCGAGTGTAGCTCGGGGTTACCGCTTTTGGTACTGACATTTTACCCCGAGCTACACTCGGGAATACCGCTAGGGAGGTTAATAAAATGTCACTTTGTAATATTTCAATAGAGTTGCATAAAAAGGTAACTTTGGGACTGGCGCACTGGCACCACTATCATATTATTGCACAGCAGTGGCTGTGTTCTGGTGCAGCTGCTGATATCAATGGGCTCTTAAAGCAGAACTACGCTGTATCTGAGCGCCACAAACCAAAAGCGCTTTTTAATTTTTTTCTTGATATTCAAAGCAAACTCTCCCATCCATTCATGTCTCCATGCTTTATTTTGCTGAGAAATCACCCACAAAAACAACCCACATGCATCTTGAGTAAGGGCAGATGATTCACGTAGCAGTTACTTCTTGGAATCCATCTGCCCTTAGGTCAGGCATGCAGGAGAACATGCTTAACTGAGAAAACCCCTCCTCCCCTTCTAAAGACTCCTGGGATGTATGACATAATTTTCCTAGGAATGAAAACTAGAAAGCAACTGAAGAAATGTAAAAAAACAGTTTAAGGTTAGGTTCACATCTATGCAGATTGTGGTTGATGCATTCTCTGGGTGCATTTTGCTTTTTTTTTTTTACACCCGTTTTTGATGCATTTGTTTGCATTTTTTAATGCATTTTGCGCTTTATGTTACTTTAGCTGGCTGTCAAGGAGAAGGCAGCTGGTTGTCACCCTTAACAACTAGTAAACAAAATGGTTGTTAAGGAGCAGGTGGCTGCTGAGGTCCTCAACAACTGATAGGTCATCAGCTGTCAGAGGGATTCCCGCTGACAGCTGAATATAAACATACCTATTGCTGGCAAAAAAAAAATCTGTAAAAAACAGCATGGCGCCCCCCAAAATCCATACCAGATCCTTATTCAAGCATGCAGGAATAAGGCCCCCCCCCCCGATCCATACCAGACCACACATCTACTTCAGGGGATAGATATAATACAAACTCTAAATATCCCTACGAAAAGTATCACTCTCACCCTTGAAAGTGTAAACAAAATATAAATACTATCTTTTCGATGCTCCCTCTACCACCCCCAACAGTGCAACAACATATATCAGCAAATGTCCACATATGAGTCCATATATAGTGCTTTTCCAATATATATAGTGCTTTTTCAAACGTTGAGGACTATTCCACTTTGCTGATTATTCAATCCAGGAACCTCAAATCAGGATACCTCAAAAAAATATATAAACTCAATATAGTGCATTATCATTACAACAGAGAAAAACACTCGTGAAAACTAAAAGTGATTCCTCCTAAACTCCCACCCGTGACAAATCAGCACTCCAAAAAAGTGATTTAGTGCAACACTCCACAACCAGTGTCACCATCCAAATAAACTAAATACCATTACCCTCTCATGGAAAATCACATGCATCCAAATGAAATAGTGCCATCTTTCTTGTGATATAAAATACCATTACCCTCTTCCAATGCAGACCAAGCAAAAACTCCTTCAAGGCAGTCCAAAGATTCCCCCTCTCCGGAAGCTTCCTACTGCTTCCAATTCACCTTCCCCGTTCCTCAAAGGGGCAGACAATACAAGACTCAGTGGAGTATATAAAAAGGATTTCACAAATTTATTCACAGCTTACATAGAGACCGCCAGCGTCCATCCTCTCCCACAGTCCATATAGCTGAACTCCAGAATTCAAGATGGCCGTGCCGCTCCTTCCGGTTTGAAAAATGTATTGTTACGTCCTTACGTCCCTGACACGTTTCGTCACTTCCGACTTTTTCACAAGGGACCCTTGTCCCGGAAATTTGTGAAATCCTTTTTATATACTCCACTGAGTCTTGTATTGTCTGCCCCTTTGAGGAACGGGGAAGGTGAATTGGAAGCAGTAGGAAGCTTCCGGAGAGGGGGAATCTTTGGACTGCCTTGAAGGAGTTTTTGCTTGGTCTGCATTGGAAGAGGGTAATGGTATTTTATATCACAAGAAAGATGGCACTATTTCATTTGGATGCATGTGATTTTCCATGAGAGGGTAATGGTATTTAGTTTATTTGGATGGTGACACTGGTTGTGGAGTGTTGCACTAAATCACTTTTTTGGAGTGCTGATTTGTCACGGGTGGGAGTTTAGGAGGAATCACTTTTAGTTTTCACGAGTGTTTTTCTCTGTTGTAATGATAATGCACTATATTGAGTTTATATATTTTTTTGAGGTATCCTGATTCGAGGTTCCTGGATTGAATAATCAGCAAAGTGGAATAGTCCTCAACGTTTGAAAAAGCACTATATATTGGAAAAGCACTATATATGGACTCATATGTGGACATTTGCTGATATATGTTGTTGCACTGTTGGGGGTGGTAGAGGAAGCATCGAAAAGATAGTATTTATACTTCAGGGGATAATTTTTAAATTATAATGGGGTACTACCCCATGTGCATTCATATTCTGGGGCCAGATTCTTGGGGTCCCCTTGTTAAAGGAGGCTTCCAGATTCCAATAGGTCACACCCTGCAGACCCCAACAACCACAGCCCAGGGTTGTGGGGAAGAGCCCTTTATACTCTTCAACATAGGGACAAGGTGCTTTGCCCCTGCCCCAAAGCACCCCCCATGTTGAGAGCATGCAGCCTGGTATGGCTCAGGAGGGGGGGGGGGGTTGCTTGCTCATCCCCTCCCTTTCCTGACTTGTGAATTGTAAAGGGTACCCCACGATATTTTCCCTTATCCTTTTTCTTTCTCCTTTTTTTTTCTACCACTCCTCATTACCTATCTTTCATCTGTTTATGGTCTGTTGGCTGTTTGGAGGGGAGTTCGGGGCCACGGGTTTATAGACATGTCCCCCCCCCCTTGGGTGGCCAGAGCCATAGGCATCAGACCTCAGGGCCCATAGATACTGAGAATCACTCCCCTGTTCTGGACTGGGGTGCTCAGTAGGTTGGAGACTTACTGAAGATAGTTAAGAAGCATGCAAGCAGGGGCGGACTGACAATTTGGAAACTCGGGCACTGCCCGAGGGCCCGGGGTCAGTAGGGAGCCCCATGAGATGCCCCTGGTACCTTTTTCATAGGCTTTTTTGAGTTTGGGCAAGGACACAGGGGCCCCATGATCCCCTATTGCCTGGGGGCCCCATGAGTTGTCAGTCCGCTCCTGCATGCAAGTTTAGCCTCTTAGGCTATAAGTTGGAATTTTGTGTACAATAGTGTAAGTTAATGTACATATCGTGCCTTGATACCCTTCTTTTATTTTATTTGTACTGCTTTCTACAATGTGTATTACTGTGTTGAAGAACGAAAAAACAAAAACTCAATAAAAACAAATGGAAAATAAAAAGCATTGATTTCCTTCAGCAGTTGGTAAATGCAGCCTGGAAATCAGGGTGATGTAGCAGGAAGTGGGGGAAAGAAAAAAGTAACTCAACCATGTGGTTTGGAGGAGAACACAGCTGACCAGGATATCTAAAGCTGCTGATAGTTTTGATTGGACTGTGCTTGCATGTGTACCTGTATTTTAGATAGCTATCTTCTATGTAAAGATTCTTAATCATTTTTATTACTTGTATTACTTTGTTCTAAATGCCATATTTTTATCTTTAGTTAAAAAAACATATTTATTTTGCACTGCGTAAATGCTTATAGTCATTGAATAGAATTCAACACAATTTTCTCTAGCATTTTAAATTACAGGGATCATTCAAATTGATAAATAGGGTCATAGCCATACAGTGGAGACCTCTATCCTTATTACTATGTATGCATTGTTTTTATAAATTATTACTATGTATGCTGGTTGCAGCCCCAGGCAATTACATATGAAAAAAGGATTTTATTAACTGATATATTTCTTCAAAAGCCCTGGTATCGTCTTAACTGAGATGATATGCTTACTTGAAATCTGTCTTTATGTCATGTCCACTGAAAGGTAAAATTAAGCTTGATCTGCTTTGTGAATTAATGAGTGAATCATCCACAAGGAAGCCTGTTCTAACAATTCAAGGCAAAGCTACAGGTTAGCTTTCATCATCCATCTCCAACAGTTTGTCTTTACTCACCCATCGCTCCCATCAGCACTGGAAGCTGAAAGGAAAACCATTTAGCAGCAGTATTTACAAATACAATCATATAATACATGGAGTGGAAATTTGCACATAAGGCTTCATTTAGACTTGCAGTTGGAGAGCAGCAAAAAAAAAATATGTGTGGTTGAGCCGTATTTTTGCCACCCATCAACTGACCCCCCCACCCCCTTAACCTGCAATAGGTAATGAATGGGGATGTTTACATGCTGCAGGTGCTGACATGTAGCGATCAGCTCATGGGGAAGCACTGCAAATGCGCCACAACCATGTACAATGAAATTGTTGGCAAAAATAGGGTTAAAACAGGCAATGAGGAGGCATTATTTCACATTCAGAGGCAAGGGAGATTTGGACACATGTTTAAATCAACCCTAAGGGTGTCATTACTCATGTGTGCCTAAAGGAACATATTACTTAACTACAATGTATATAGGGTTTAGAATTACATTTAGAACTAGTTTTTGAGCTACAGTTGCAAGAAAAAGTCTGTGAACCCCTTGGGATTACGTGGAGTTTTGCATGAATTGGGCATAAAATGTGCTCTGAACGTCATCTAAGTCACAACAATAGAACACAGTCTGCTGAACATAATACTACACAAACATTAGATGTTGCCATGGTTTAATTGAACATTACATGTAAACATTCACAGGGAGGAAAAAGTATGTAAACCTTTGGACTTAATAACTGGTTGACCCTCCTTTGGCAGCAATAACCTCAACCAAACGTTTCCTGTAGTTGCAGATCAGACCTGCACAACGATCTGGAGTAATTTTGGACCACTCCTCTTCACAAAACTGTTTCAGTGTAGCAATATTCTTGGGATGTCTGGTGTGAATCGCTCTCTTAAGGTCATGCCACAGCATTTCAATTTGGTTGAGGTCAGGACTCTGACTTGGCCACTCCAGAAGGCGTATTCTGTGCTGTTGCAGCCATTGTTTTGTTGATTTACTTGTATGCTTTGGGTCATTGTCCTGTTGCATCACCCATCCTCTGCGGAGCTTCAGTTGGCGGACAGATGGTCGTACGTTTTCCTGCAAAATGTCTTGATAAACTCTGGAATTCATTTTCCCGTCAATGACAACTAGGCCCCGAGGCAGCAAAGCAGCCCCAAACCATGATGCTTCCTCCGCCATGTTTTACAGTGGGGATGAGGTTTTGATGTTGGTGTGCTGTGCCTTTTTTTCTCCATACATAGTGTTGTGTGTTCTTCCCAAACAACTCAATCTTGGTTTCATCTGTCCACAGTATATTTTGCCAGTAGTGCTGTGGAACATCCAGGTGCTCTTTTGCAAACTTTAAAAGTGCTGCAATATTCTTTTTGGACAGCAATGGTTTCCTCCGTGGTGTCCTCCCATGTACTTCATTCTTGTTTAATGTTTTCCTTATTGTAGATGTGTCAACAAAAATGTTAGCATGTGCCAGAGATTTCTGTAGGTCTTTAGCTGACACTCTGGGATTCTTCTTTACCTCATGCAGCATTCTGCGCTGCGCTCTTGCAGTCATTTTTAGAGGACGACACCGCCTAGGGAGAGCAGCAACAGTGCTAAACTTTCTCCATTTGTAGACAGTCTGTCTTACCGTGGACACATGAACATCAAGGCTTTTGGAGATACTTTTGTAACCCTTTCCAGCTTCATGCAAGTCAACAATTCTTGATCGTAGGTCTTCTGAGAGCTCTTTTCTGCGAGGCATGGTTCACATCAGACAGTGCTTCTTGAAACCAGTAAACCCAAAACAGGTGTGTGTTTTTTTAAGGGCAGGACAGCTGTCAGCAACACATCCAATATCATCACACTGATTGGAGTCAAGGTTGGCTCACTCCTGGCTCCAATTAGCTCTGGGAGAAGTCATTAAGCTAGGGCCTCACATACTTTTTCCTCCCTGCACTGTGAATGTTTACATGTTATGTGCAATTAAACCATGGCAACATCTAATGTTTGTGTAGTATTATGTTCAGCAGACTGTGTTCTTCTATTGTTGTGACTTAGATGACGTTCAGAGTACATTTTATGCCCAATTCATGCAAAACTCCACGTAATCCAATGGGTTCACATACTTTTTCTTGCAACTGTAGGTTTTAGTAACTGGAAAAAAATCCTCTGTATTTTCTTAAGCTGTCCAAAAGGCTTGAAATGTGCTTCCCATGCTTTTGAGTGTACAATATTCAGAGTAGTTGTAAATGAGTTTATGTTTGAGGGGAGAGATATGTTTAAAACACCCGTGCCCCTCTGCGGAAGTCTATCTAGGATGAAATGCATACGCTAAAGCATGGAACTTTCGTTATTGGGTCCTGCACTGGGAAAATATCCCATACTCTTAGGCTGTTTGGGGATGTGATTATCATTACATTGGTAAGGCTATATTATCTGTAGATGTAATGCCCCCAAGGGGCGGACTGACCATTTGGAAACTCGGGCACTGTACCTTTTTCATAGGCTTTTTTGAGTTTAGGCAAGGACACAGGGACCCCATGATCCCCTATTGCCCGGGGGCCCCATGAGTTGTCAGTCCACCCCTGAATGCCCCCCAATACTACATACTGTATGAGGATATTACAATTGCAAATTTGTGAGCCATGGGTGAGAGTATGCAATGAACAGTCCAACCTTACAGCATTTTTGACAATGTTTCTGGTGAGGCTGTATCACCTATACATGATTCACCCAGAACATTGCATATGTAGAAACACTGTACCTTTTGTACTACCTGCATGGCAAATGTTTGCAAGCCATAAAGAACACTGTATACTGAAAATCTCAACCATATTGCATGTCATATACAGTAGGGGAATATAAATCTATATCATACATGCATTTAACCTCTTTTTGCATATGGAACTGAGCTCACTAAACCAGAGGAATGTAGTGATTTACACTGAGGGTTATAATGAGATGGGACTGTTATTTCACTTGGAAGCCCAGGACTGGCTAAGCTGAGTCTGATTCCTGCAGGGCATAGTTGACTACCAGCTTATATTAGCTGATACGTGTATGAGGCATGTTGAAAAACCAGCCCCTGGGTAGCTTTGCATTAAAATATGAATGTATATGGCAACAGTTTGCTTGTTTTGGCTGCACATTGTTTCAAACGCCACACTCAGGGCACTTCTGGAATTACAATCTGGGATAAATATGTATTTTGGTGAGTTAACAGCTAGCAAGCTAGTAACAGTATCTCAGTTCCTGCATGGCATTGGTTTTGAATGTCTCCACTTGTCCTAGCTAATGCAGAGTTGGTTCAACTTGATTCAACTGCATGTTGTAGAATTAGTCGATCTGAGAATACAAATGTGCTGCCTTGTATTACACAAGGCATTCTTTAGCATTCAGCAGTGTCTGTCCCTTTAAGGCTAGGGACGTCCTGTTTGCTAACTTGGGAGGAAGTGACCTCATCTCTTCAGACTGAAGAAATTCTACAATGCAAGTACATGTGGGATGCTGTTCCCTCTTCATATATGGGCTTGATTAGACCCCCAAAGTCTGTAAGTACCCCTCCTATATACTGAGGAATGTTATGTATATAGCTAGGTAGTTAGATATGTACTCATGTCTGTTTATTCTGTTTGTATTTCAGTTTTACCATTTGTTCACATTCGCGCATTTATTCACGCGCATTCTCATTATGTCACATGTTATCAGTAAAAGATCATCGGTTATCAATCATCGACTCTTTACTGTGTGGACATCAAAGGTTATACTGCCTGTAATCCTCTGTAACCCTTTCATAACTGCAGAGAAGGCAGGACAGTAAAAAAGACTTACACGGTTACTTCAGAGCACATTGTGTGAAAAATCTACAGCAAGCCCCACAACACAGAGGATACTCTTAACTGTTAATACAGCACGTGTGTGTGAAATCCCCACAGCACAGCCAGTCTAGGCATAGCAAAGTGAAACTAACTCAGCTTCGTGTACACGCTGTGTACTCCACTCAAGCACAATGCAGCACACAGACACAGAGAAAGATATGAAAGATATCACTAAATTAACCCTTCCTAAAATCTCGTGCAAGCAGGAAGAAAATATGCACAGTACACTGGAAACTAGGTCACAATGCAGCACGCCGAGAACTTATAACAAATCGGATCTGTCGTCATCCAAAGCAGAAACCGCCAGATCTAAGCGTTCAAGTTCCAGGCATTCTAGCGTCACAGACCTATCATCAGTCAGTGCTGGGGCAGCCAGGAGTAAGCATACAAGTTCCAGACATTCTAGCGTCACAAACTTGTCTTCAGTCAGCGCTATCGCCGCCAGGGCACAAGCCAAGGCCGAGGCCGCATGCGCCATGGCCTCCTATGCCATACAGGAAGCAGAGCTTATGAAAGAGCAAGGCTACCTAGATGAAGAGCAGCAGAAGAGTCAGGCTGAATTAAAAAAGAGACAAGCCGAAGGGGAAGCTGAAATGAAAAGGAGAGAAGCAGAAACGCTTAGGAGAAAAGCAGAAACGCTTAGGAGAAAGGCAGAAGTGCAAGCCTCTTTACACATACTTCAGCAACAGAAAATAGCTGCAGCAGCCATAGCTGAAGCCGAAGTTCTCGCGAGAGCTGCAGATATTCAGTTTGTAGAGAGCGATGTACTGGAAACCCTGATAACACCTCTCAGTACATTCCAACGCACCCGTGAGTATGTGCAATCACAAGCAATCCTATACCCTGATAAACAGCCTAGTGACGCACCGAAACCATCAAGGACCCAGTTGGGAGCAGACAGCTTTGATGTTACGCATCACTACAAGACTGAACCTGAACCGCCACGTGATAATTCAACCAATCACGGGCTCAGATACCAAACCGCCAACACGCTAAAAAACCAAGTAGATGGCGATATAACCTCTCCTTGTGCAAAACCAGATCTAGACTACAATAGAGGAGAGCAACCATCTGACCAAAATAGACTTAGTCAAATACCTCAACGAACCCATCAGTCACTATCAGCCAGTAGTCCCGCATTTGTACCCAGAACAAACGCACCTGACACAGCAAGGGTTACAGACGTGTCGAAATACCTGATGCGCCGTGAGATGGTGAGCACTGGTCTCTTGAAGTTCGACGATCGTCCTGAAAACTACTGGGCCTGGAGGTCATCCTTCCTAAGCAGCACCCAAAACTTAGAGCTGACAGACAGAGAGAAGCTCGACCTACTCGCCAAATACCTAGGACCAGAGTCCTCAGAGCAGGCCAAAAGAATCAGGTCAGTGCATGTCCATGATGCAACAGCAGGACTTGCGATGGTCTGGCAGAGAATAGAAGACTGCTATGGGTCACCTGAAGTAATTGAAGAAGCACTTTTAAAGAAAATTGAAACTTGCCCAAAAATGACAAACAAAGACAATCAGAAGCTGAGAGAGCTCGGAGACCTACTCTTAGAGATAGAAGCAGCAAAGACTAGTGGAACTCTGCCAGGTCTCTTATACTTAGACACAGCACGTGGGAGTAGAGCCCATAATCGAGAAGCTCCCTTTCAACCTGCAAGAAAGGTGGGTCTCTCAAGCATCCAGATACAAGAAAGACTATCGAGTTGCATTTCCACCATTTGTCTTCCTCGCTGAATTCGTTGTAGACCAAGCTAAGACACGCAATGACCCAAGCTTCGCCTTCCTGAACAAGAGAGTTGCAAGCTCCCCAAGGACAGAGAAGCAGCCACCAGTACACTACAAAGAACGCAGAGCAACAGTGTCTGTGCGGAAGACAGAAGTCCCGCCTGAGGCTGCAGCCAATCAGGAAGACAACACAAGCAAGGAAGTTGAGGATCCAGACAAACAGTGCCCAATACACAACAAGCCTCATCCACTAAGAAAATGTCGCAGTTTCAGAAGTAAGACATTAGAGGAGCGCAAGGCTTACCTTAAATACAATCACATTTGTTTCAGATGCTGCGCCTCAATGCAACATCTTGCAAAAGACTGTAAGAGAGAAATACGGTGCACAGAATGCAACAATGACCGACATCTGTCAGCACTGCACCCAGGACCACCACCATGGAGATCAGAAGTTCCAGCAACTCAAGAAGATCATGGTGGGGAGCAAAAAGAAAGTGCAACACCAGCGATAACTTCAAAGTGCACTGAGATCTGTACAGAACCAGGACTCTCTAGATCATGCTCCAAGATATGCTTAGTCAAAGTGTATCCCAACGGTCTCAGAGAAAAGGCAGTGAAGATGTATACAGTCCTAGACGAACAAAGCAACAGGTCTCTAGCAAAGACAGAGTTCTTTGACCTCTTCGGGGACAAAGGAAGTTCAACTCCATACACCTTGAAGACATGTTCTGGAGTTATAGAGACATCAGGGAGAAGAGCAAACAACTACACCATCGAGTCATTAGATGGAAAGACGCAGCTGACTCTTCCTACCCTCATAGAATGTGACATGATACCAGATGACAGGTCAGAGATTCCCACACCTGAAGTGGCACGTCACTACCCTCATCTCATGCGAATAGCAGACAAGATCCCAGCACTCAACCCAGATGCTGCAATCGTCCTTCTACTAGGAAGAGACATACTGAGAGTGCACAAGGTCAGAGAACAATACAATGGGCCGCACAATGCACCATTAGCTCAACGTCTTGATCTTGGATGGGTTATCGTTGGAAATGTATGTCTTGACGGACTTCACAAACCCGCAAAGGTGAATGTCTACAGAACAAATCTGCTGCAGAACGGTCGCACGTCATGTCTTTGCCCATGTAACAACAGCATGCAGATTAAAGAGAAACTATCTAACCCAACACATCCCCAGAACATCCAGAGGTTCCTGGAAGATACAGCCTCAGCTGAAGATTCAGATCAGCTAGGCCACAAAGTGTTGAGAGAACTCAAGATGATGACAAACTAGCACCATCTGTTGAAGATAACCTCTTCCTTGAGATCATGGACAGAGAAGTCTTCAAAGACAAAGCAGGCAGTTGGGTAGCCCCACTACCATTCCGTACACCACGGCATCGTCTTCCCAACAACAGAGTGCAAGCAGAGAAACGCCTTGCGCTATTGCAGCGCACTCTTGAAAGAAAGCCAGACATGAAAGAACACTTCCAAGAATTCATGCGGAAAATCTTTGACAAAGATCAAGCTGAAAAAGCACCAGCACTGCATGAAACACAAGAACGCTGGTACTTGCCAATATTCGGAGTGTACCATCCTCAAAAACCAGGTCAGATACGTGTAGTATTTGATTCCAGTGCAAAGCATGAAGGTATTTCCCTTAATGATGTACTTCTCAGCGGACCAGACCTGAACAACACACTTCTTGGAGTCCTTATCAGATTCCGAAGAGAACTTGTTGCAGTAACAGCAGATGTACAGCAGATGTTCTACTGTTTCCTTGTCCGTGAAGACCACAGAGACTACCTGAGGTTCCTATGGTATGAAGACAACGACCTCAACAAAGGTATTATAGAGTATAGGATGAAAGTACATGTGTTTGGGAACAGTCCCTCACCAGCTGTCGCTATCTACAGCTTGAGACGAGCAGCGCAGCAAGGTGACAGACACAACCCTGAAGCCAAACAATTTGTTATGAAAAACTTTTATGTAGACGATGGACTTGCTTCCTTCTCCAGTAGTGGAGAAGCCATTAACATTTTAAAAAACACTAGAGACTTGCTAGCAGAATCTAACATAAGACTGCACAAA